TAGCGTACATTATCCGTTACCATTTGTCACAGCAACTTATTCACAGAGCTTTTTCCTCCCTGTTTCGCAGTAGCAGTTACATTTTTTAGGCATAATTATTTTTTTCAGCGCTACTGCAATATACATTTTGTGGTGAGTACCGGCACCTTGTTTTTCTAGAGAAAAGAAGCCCTGCTTATTCATGGCCATGTATATTGTTATTCCGTGCAATCACTTGTATCTATTAAAACATTTTGTAGTATTATTTGTAGTCGGCTCTGTGGCTAAGTCGGTGCGAACGCTTCGTAGTTCCGGGTTCGATCCCAGCTGCGGGCCATGTGCCTTGCGGTGGTTTCGACGGTGGTATCAGGGTGTCGACCGTCCAGAGGCAATGGCGAACTATTGGACGTAAATTTGCCTAGAGAAACCACATAACAGCCAGGGGCTGCTAGGGTTGGTTCTGCAACGTCTGTAAAGGATACGCAACTAACCTTAGTATTATATGTAATATATCCAAAGCGAGTAATATATATTTTTTCAACTCTCGAAAACAAATGCTCAACTCTTTCAGTTCCAAACAACGTTTGATGTGTGATTATCACTTCTGCAAATCCAACCCAGCACGTAATATTTTCGGATTCTTCTTAACTTTTTGAGTCCCAGGGAGTTTAACGTCACAGGCCCAGGGAGTAGTAAAGAGAGTCATAAAATCGGTGCATCATGCGTTCATTGGGCTTCTAGGTAAGAACCTATGAACGTATGATGCGTTCCTTGGGACTCAAAGAGTTAATAGTTTCTCACTGTATTTTAAGACATCTGGCTTTCCCAGTATTAAGCGTCCTTGCAAACTACAGTTGAGTCTGGATAAGTAGAAGTCGCACGGACCTAAGAAAATGCTTCCACTTATCAGGATTTCTACTTATCCAGACAGCACACACAATAAAGAAAACTACCGGCACTAAGCTGGTCATGTCGTCTTAACCGAAATTCGACTTATCCGAGTTCGACTTAGTGGACTCGACTTATACACTAGTGGGTTTTCCCTGTTAGTTATTTAAACATATGGGAGTTTCCGCTAAAACCGCCGTGTACTCAAGGAGTTGATAAAAGTGATTAGCTATAAATGCGATGAATTCAAGAGTGGGAAAAAAAAAGAGAAACGCCTGGACAACCGCTGGTATCAACAGTTGCAAGACAAAGAAGATGGCAAAATACAGAGGGCATCATGAGAAGAAGCGAACAGAGCATCACCAAACAGGAACTTAAATGGGATACAAATAGACTGGGGGAGACGATGACGTCCAAAAGAAACTCAAGACAAACGTTGCTTAGAGAGGCCAGGGGGTGTGTTCCATCCAAGGTGTTGAGATTACAGCTCAGGTTACAATGGAATGGAAAATTAAATCATGAGCCCTATGTAATGGCACAACAAGATGATGATGATAAGTGTTATTCTCCCTAGTTCACTTTTTTTTCATAAACATTGCTCTTATTATTCTCTAGTTTCGGACTGTTTTCGTTGGCACCTCTGACAGCAGCCTTATGCTATTTAATACGTATATGTATGCTTTTGGCATTACCGAGACCGCAGTCGCTGTTAGTCCCCCCTGCCCACAGCGAACAGTTCTGGACACTGTGTGGTTTTCGTTAGCACAACAACGGAACAACTGTAGGGGGACCTGTTTGTAATAAAGTTTGGAACTGCAATCACCCGATTGTTAGTTGTTTATCCTTTACAAGACATTACAAGAACCAGCCACAGCATGATTTGGCTGTTGCGGTTTTTTCTAGGCAAATTTACATTCCGCACTTTGCCATTGCTTTCTCAACAGTCGGCTATCGTCCACTGTCAAAACCAACGCCACGTTGTCTGCAGCCAAATCGCCTGCAGCTGGGATCGAACCCGGCACCCTGGCATTATAAAGCAGGGGAAATCAGACACCGACAGTTACATGATCTTTTTATTCTAAGTAGTTTATCTTATAATTTTTTTTAGCTCACCCCATCTCGGGGTCCTGAGATTTCGTGGGGAATTCCCGGGAAACTTCAATATTATGGAAGAGTGGATTGGGGGGGGGGGGGGGGGGGGGGTAAAGGTTAGTGTTAGTGGGTGTTTATTTCACGACTTAACACTTCTTTATTACTGGACCTTCCCGGGAACTCCCCACGAAATCTCGGAGTCTCCGAGATAAGGTTATTGAAAGAAAAGAACCCTTTATCGTTGCTATTGATACTGTTATTGTCCCCCCCCCCCCCACCCTCTCCCCACCAAGGCAATCAGATTTATCACTTTAGACCGTTCTGTTTATTCTATATAATCTATTTAATTCAACAGCAATGCTCTTGACTTTTTTTTAAAGAATCTGTTTAATCAGGGATAGTCCTCATGTCATTATTTACAATCGGTTTTAAGCCACCACGGTTCTTGTCTTTTCTGTTTAATCCAACAATTCAGTTTGAGATATACTGTTTAATCCAACAATTCAGTTTGAGATATTCTGTTTAATCCAAAAATTTAGTTTGAGATATACTGTTTAATCCAACAATTCAGTTTGAGATATACTGTTTAATCCAACAATTCAGTTTGAGATATTCTGTTTAATCCAAAAATTTAGTTTGAGATATACTGTTTAATCCAACAATTCAGTTTGAGATATACTGTTTAATCCAACAATTCAGTTTGAGATATACTGTTTAATCCAACAATTCAGTTTGAGATATACTGTTTAATCCAACAATTCAGTTTGAGATATACTGTTTAATCCAACAATTCAGTTTGAGATATACTGTTTAATCCAACAATTCGGTTTGAGATATACTGTTTAATCCGACAATTTACTTCTGGATATTCTGTTTAATCCAACAATTCAGTTTGAGATATACTGTTTAATCCAACAATTCACTTCTGGATATTCTGTTTAATCCAACAATTCAGTTCTAGATATTCTGCTTAATCCAACAATTCAGTTTGATATATACTGTTTAATCCGACAATTCACTTCTGGATATTCTGTTTAATCCAACAATTCAGTTTGAGATATACTCTTTAATCCAACAATTCAGTTTGAGATATACTGTTTAATCCAACAATTCAGTTTGAGATATTCTGTTTAATCCAAAAATTTAGTTTGAGATATACTGTTTAATCCAACAATTCAGTTTGAGATATACTGTTTAATCCAACAATTCAGTTTGAGATATACTGTTTAATCCAACAATTCAGTTTGAGATATACTGTTTAATCCAACAATTCAGTTTGAGATATACTGTTTAATCCAACAATTCAGTTTGAGATATACTGTTAAATCCAACAATTCAGTTTGAGATATACTGTTTAATCCGACAATTCACTTCTGGATATTCTGTTTAATCCAACATTTCAGTTTGAGATATACTGTTTAATCCAACAGTTCACTTCTGGATATTCTGTTTAATCCAACAATTCAGTTCTAGATATTCTGTTTAATCCAACAATTCAGTTTGAGATATACTGTTTAATCCGACAATTCACTTCTGGATATTCTGTTTAATCCAACAATTCAGTTTGAGATATACTCTTTAATCCAACAATTCAGTTTGAGATATACTGTTTAATCCAACAATTCAGTTTGAGATATTCTGTTTAATCCAAAAATTTAGTTTGAGATATACTGTTTAATCCAACAATTCAGTTTGAGATATACTGTTTAATCCAACAATTCAGTTTGAGATATACTGTTTAATCCAACAATTCAGTTTGAGATATACTGTTTAATCCAACAATTCAGTTTGAGATATACTGTTTAATCCAACAATTCAGTTTGAGATATACTGTTAAATCCAACAATTCAGTTTGAGATATACTGTTTAATCCGACAATTCACTTCTGGATATTCTGTTTAATCCAACATTTCAGTTTGAGATATACTGTTTAATCCAACAGTTCACTTCTGGATATTCTGTTTAATCCAACAATTCAGTTCTGGATATTCTGTTTAATCCAACAATTCAGTTTGATATATACTGTTTAATCCGACAATTCACTTCTGGATATTCTGTTTAATCCAACAATTCAGTTTGAGATATACTCTTTAATCCAACAATTCAGTTTGAGATATACTGTTTAATCCAACAATTCAGTTTGAGATATTCTGTTTAATCCGACAATTTACTTCTGGATATTCTGTTTAATCCAGCAATTCGGTTTGAGATATACTGTTTAATCCAACAATTCAGTTTTAGGTATTCTGTTTAATCCGACAATTCACTTCTGGATATTCTGTTTAATCCAACAATTCAGTTCTGGATATTCTGTTTAATCCAACAATTCAGTTCTGGATACTCTATTTAATCCAGCAATTCAGTTCTAAATTTTATGTTTTATATAACAATACCCTTCTTCTGATTCCATTAAATCCATCAGTATCGCCCTTGTTACTTTATATATTCCATTTCATTCAACAGGAATGTCCCTGTTTTAAGTCACTAACACAACACTACTAGTGGTATTCTATTTAACCCAACGTATTGTTTATTTTATGTAGCAGTAGTAGAACAGCAGCAGCAATAGCAGCAGCAAAGTAATAGCAGCATAATTTGTATTAGTAGTGACGTGGTAACATTAGTGGTAATAATAATAATAATATTATTAAAAATAATAATAATAAATCCCATTGTCTGAACAGTTGACTTGCCTGACATACCATCAGATTTTGTTGTTTATTATTCTCATTTTCCAGCAGCCAAACGCGTGATGTGAACATAGTCAGAGTTAAGCATCTCCCTGGACTCTCAGACTAAACATACGCCACGACTTTCAACGAAGTGATTAATTGCAGCCGGACTAAATGCCTGTCTGTCTTAGAACAGTGGTTCTTAACATAAATGACAGGCGATACTGTTTGATACAGGAGAAAGGAGTACTCATGGGTTACTAACTTTGTGCCATGAAGCTGATCCGTCGTCTAAACTAAACAGATTATACTGTACACTCATGGTGGTGGTGGTGTGAACACAGGATCAAGAATAGACACTCGAAAAAAATGGGATTTGATAGTGCCAAATTCGTGACCAGCGTGGCTGATGACAAACGATGCATCTTGTGTCAGGACGTGTTGGACAACCCCGTGAGATCTCCTTGTGGGCACGTCTTCTGCTCCAGCTGCATCCTTCCATGGATCGACAGTCGCGGACACTGCCCAAAGAAATGCCGTAATTTGACCCCTACTGACCTAGAAAACGTTTTACCTTTGAGGGAAGTGATTCTGAATCTGAAAGTTAGATGTGAGTTTTTCGAAAATGGATGCACGGAAACTTTTAGATTAACCGATCTTCTGTCCCACGCCCGGAGATGTGGCTTCCAACAAGTCACTTGTAGAAACGCGGGCTGTAGTCAGGTCTTACCGTTAAAGGATGTGTACCTACATGAGTCAGAATCGTGTCTGTTTCGTCAGGTAGGGGAGTGTGATAAAGGTTGTGGTCTAATGCTGCATCTGCATACCGTGGATCTTCACGACTGTCACGAGTCCCTGAAGACCCTGATGAAATCGCAGGAGAAACTGCTACATGGGTTGGAGGAGCGGCTTGCGGCGATGCGAAACACTTTTTCCAGGCGGGAAAGGCAGCTGGTCAAACAAGTGAGTTTCCTGCACCAGCAACTTGGCAACCAGGCGGATCAGTTCCAGAAGGCCATCAGTGGTTTCAGAAGTGAGCAGCACAGGACGGGTGTCATTGACATTGAAGTAGAGGTAAGAGTTCTTGTTGAATACAGGTTGTAAGGACACTGGGTATTTCAGCATTCACACACTTCTGCGCATGAATGTACAAGTTGTTTCAGCATTCACACACTTCTGCACATGTATGTACAAGGTGTTTCAGCATTCACACACTTCTGCACATGTATGTACAAGGTGTTTCAGCATTCACACACTTCTGCACATGTATGTACAAGGTGTTTCAGCATTCACACACTTCTGCACATGTATGTACAAGGTGTTTCAGCATTCACACACTTCTGCACATGTATGTACAAGGTGTTTCAGCATTCACACACTTCTGCACATGAATGTAATAAGTGTTTCAGCATTCACACACTTCTGCACATGTATGAACAAGGTGTTTCTGCTTTCTCACACCACAACATCTAGCATGAGAATGGAGGTGGAGGCAGTAACTGCAGCTCTTCAGTGACTAAAGAACAAGATGTACACACATGTCGTAATTGTAACAGACTCTAAAAGCATGCTGAAAAAGGTTAAAACAGGGATGCCTTGATCAGAGTGGCAAGCTTCACTGGAAAGGTCTTGGGTAGTAGGCATACTTTGGATCTTTTCTCCAGGCGATGCCGGCGTGGTGGGTAATGAACAGGCAGACAGATTGGCTAGATCTGCCCCACTGGGTGAAAAATTGATACATGACAAGTCAAATGTGGTCAAGGCCCTTTGGGAACAAGCACAGAATCAGTAGAGAAACAAGATTATACATGTATGAATTAGGTGTTTCGGCATTCTCACACGTTTATACATGTATTTATTAGGTGTTTCGGCATTCTCACACGTTTATACATGTATGTATTAGGTGTTTCGGCATTCTCACACGTTTATACATGTATGTATTAGGTGTTTCGGCATTCTCACACGTTTATACCATGTATGTATTAGGTGTTTCGGCATTCTCACACGTTTATACATGTATGTATTAGGTGTTTCGGCATTCTCACACGTTTATACATGTATGTATTAGGTGTTTCGGCATTCTCACACGTTTATACATGTATGTATTAGGTGTTTCGGCATTCTCACACGTTTATACATGTATGTATTAGGTGTTTCGGCATTCTCACACGTTTATACATGTATGGCAATGTGTTCGGCATTCTCACACGTTTATACATGTATGTATAAGGTGTTTCGGCATTCTCACAGGCTTATACATGTATGTATTAGGTGTTTCGGCATTCTCACACGCTTATGCATGTATGTGTTAGGTGTTTCGGCATTCTTAAACGTTTATACATGTATGTGTTAGGTGTTTCGGCATTCTCACACGCTTATACATGTATGTATTAGATGTTTCGGCATTCTCAAACGTTTATACATGTATGTATTAGGTGTTTCGGCATTCTCACACGCTTATACATGTATGTATTAGGTGTTTCGGCATTATCACACGTTTATACATGTATGTATTTGGTGTTTCGGCATTCTCACACGTTTATACATTTATGTATTAGGTGTTTCGGCATTCTCACACGTTTATACATGTATGTATTAGGTGTTTCGGCATTCTCACAAGTGTATACATGTATGTATTAGGTGTTTCGGCATTCTCACAAGTGTATACATGTATGTATTAGGTGTTTCGGCATTCTCACACGTTTATACATGTATGTATTAGGTGTTTCGGCATTCTCACACGTGTATACATGTATGTATTAGGTGTTTCGGCATTCTCACAAGTGTATACATGTATGTATTAGGTGTTTCAGCATTCTCACAAGTTTATACATGTATGTATTGGGTGTTTCGGCATTCTCACACGTTTATACATGTATGTATTAGGTGTTTCGGCATTCTCACACGTTTATGCATGTATGTGTTGGGTGTTTCGGCATTCTCAAACGTTTATACATGTATGTATTAGGTGTTTCGGCATTCTCACAAGTGTATACATGTATGTATTTGGTGTTTCGGCATTCTCACACGTTTATACATGTATATTAGGTGTTTCGGCATTCCCACACTTTTGTATATGTCACCACTAGGTATTTCGTCTTACTCACACTTTTGCACATGTATGTACTAGGTGTTTTTCCGTAGTTTCGAACTGTTGCATATGTATGTCCTAGTTGTATCATCGTCTTACTGAGCTTTAGCACACGAATGTCCTAGTTGAGTTGAGCTGAGTTGATTCAAGAACCGACATCGCAGCAGTCAGGGCATTCCCATTATCGCTCCGTCCCCGTCTTAAACAGTCAGTGAAGAATTCCGATACTAAAGGTGCCAGTAGCATTCTGATTAAATGTCCGTCTTACCTTTCCTCTGAGCCTCGAGCATCTCGCCACTCCCCGCGGCATCAGTCTCACTAGACTGTGGTGATCCATCTGCTCCTCCGAACTGTACACGCTCACACTGAACCGTCTGTGTGAATAATCAAATCCTCTGAGCGAGCATTATCTTCAATTAATTGCTGAATTTCCACCTCCATGGCACCTGCTGGCCATTCTCTGCATTCCCAGCTCTGTGTGATTGTGACCCTACCCAAGTCTGACTGTTCAGGTGGCACTTTGACCCACTCCTCTCCTCGCCTAATGTTCTCAATGATGCAAACCTGTATGATTGTATCTTCTGCCTGTGCCATCCATGACTTCCTTCTTATCAGCCTCTGACCCTTAACTGCGCCCACAGCTTCGTGCAAAGGGTGGTCCTAGTTATGTCGCCCTACTAAGCTTTAAAACTTACATGTATTTCCTAGTCGTACACAACTTAAGGTGCACACAAAAACACGAACGCCCACACACACACACTCACGCGTACGCATATGCATTTAACAAACACATACGCGCACAAAGACACAGAAGCGCTCACATGGCAGCATACAAGCACTCACATACAAACGCACACACGATCGTACAAAGGTTTCTGGCCCCTCGTGAAAACATATGCAGGCCCTCAGATATGTTTCTGCATGTACTCGCAACTCCTATATATATATATATTATGTACACTCTTCTCTTTTCTTTCATCTCTCCTCTCTCTATCTTCTCTTCTCTTTTCTTTTCTCTTTCTTCCCTTCTCTCTGCCCTCTCTCTGCCCTCTCTTCCCTCTCTCTCGTCTCTTCTTTCTTCTAACACCGTTCTCTGCCTCTTCTCTCTGTCATTACTTTTCTTTTCTCTCTTCTATTCTCTCTCTACTCTTCTCTTCTCTCTTCTCTGCTCTTCTCCCTATACTCTTCTCTTCTCTCTACTTTTCTTTTCTCTCTATTCTTCTTCTCTCTGTACTTTTCTCTTCTCACTTCTCTTCTCATCTCTTATCTTTACTCTTCTCTCTCTACTCTTCTCTTCTCTTCGCTCTACTCTTCTCTTTTCTTCTCTTCGCTCTACATTTTCCCTCTCTACTCTTCCTTTCTCTCTACTCTTCTCTTTCATTCTCTCTACTCTTCTCTTCTGTCTACTTTTCTCCGTTCTACTCTTATCTTTTCTTCTCTTCTTTTTACACTTTCCCTCTCTACTCTTCTTTTCTCTCTACTCTTCTCTTTCATTCTCTCTACTCTTCTCTTTTGTCTACTTTTCTCCGCTCTACTCTTCTCTTTTCTTCTCTTCGCTCTACACTTTCCCTCTCTACTCTTCTTTTCTCTCTACTCTTCTCTTTCATTCTATCTACTCCTCTCTTTGTCTACTTTTCTCCGCTCTACTTTTCTCTTATTTCTCTTCTTTTCTCTTCTCTTCTCTTCTCTTCTCTTCTCTTCTCTTCTCTTCTCTTCTCTTCTCTTCTCTTCTCTTCTCTTCTCTTCTCTTCTCTTCTCTTCTCTTCTCTTCTCTTCTCTTCTCTTCTCTTCTCTTCTCTTCTCTTCTCTTCTCTTCTCTCTACCCTTCTCCTCTCTCTACTCTTCTCTTCTCTCTACTCTTCCCCTCTCTCTACTCTTCTCTTCTCTATTCTTCTCTTCTCTACTCTTCTCTCTACTCTTCTCCTCTCTCTTTCTCTCTCTCTATGTCTCTTAACCAGATTCCCTTCATCAGAGACACGGTATCTCACGCACATACACAACACATTGCACTCACCGTCCGTTCAGCTCAACGCATAACCAAACTCACACACGTGCACAGAAGCACATAGACATATATTTACACATACGGTGTACAGACAGGTGCAGGAAAGAGAATACACGCAATCACACACTTACTAACGAACACACATTCACGCGCACACACAGCAATACTGCGATGAACTGACCGATACTCTTCCCAGTCTGTCAGTTCATTGTCTGAAGTCCCAAAAGTGCGACGCCCGACAGAAGACATCATTCTCCTGAAAGTCTTCCCCTAGTCTTGTGTCAAGGACACGCGACTCTCAAACTCTGCGTCTGCGACCTGCCCTTTCTTGTCCGTCCCTGGGGCTGGGAACTTCAAAGGCAACTTTGATGGAGACCATGTTAAAGCGATTTGTCCCAGAATTGTCTTTCCTTCTTGTCGGTTTCGATTAAATTTGTCAACTTGCTACCCGACCATCATGAATATTAATCACATCTGTACTTATGCAAATGAGCTGGGGGTCACCGC